ATGAGTTTTTTGGGTTCATTGAGAACATGGTTGTTGTTCAATAATAAAATTATTCCTCAAAAATACAACTTGCCTAATAATTCTGCACTCCCTGTAGACTCCCGGGTTAAAATGTCCAACTTTTCAGCAAAAATAAGCACCTTTACAGCTTCTAGAATGTGACTGATAGGTGGATGGTGACACATTCATCTGTAGCTGCTAGCTGTCTATTAGGTTTCACCTCAGCTAACTGGAGTCTCAGAACTGGACCTCTGGACTGTATGGTGTTTGCATCTTCTGGGCCAATTTGCTGAGGATAGGCCTAGCAGACAGGTAAAAACTGCAGTCAAGACTGAAACTGTAGACCTGAGCGAAATCCAAATGGATACTAATAAACCTTCCAACTCCAAATAGATCTGGTGACAATGGCTGCCTGGGTGTGAGCCCACTGGGAAGTATTCTGAGTTACTTTCAACAACCCAAACTAAGCAGTTTCTGGGCAATACACCTAGTGCTCCCAAAGCAGCACCCATAGGGCATACTTCTAATTCACTGTCAAAATATTAAATTTTTTTCTTGATCAGCTGCAGGTGTAAGGAAAAAATAAACAGCCCTTGGAATTACCAAGATATCGACTTTGATTATTCATAAATTCATAATTAGTCATAATTATAAACAAACACAAAATCAAAACAAACCAGTACTGCTGTGTTTTCTTTCATTTATGGAACAGCTTCATGTTCTCCCTGCAATAAAAATTTAAAAAAATGTAAAAGGCAGATTAAATTCTTGTTAAAAATTGTTGCATTGACTTCCTGTGTGTCTTCCCCCCACAGGAAGAGCAGAACATCAAACCACAATATTTCACCTTCCGCTGGCTCACCCTGTTGTTATCTCAGGAGTTCCTCCTGCCAGATGTCATCCGCATCTGGGACACACTTTTTTCTGACCAGGACAGATTCCATTTCCTCATCCTGGTCTGCTGCGCCATGCTCATGTGAGTCTTTCAGACTGGATTGAATTTATTTCAGTTATTTTTATATGTCATCAATTGGACATGATTCTCCTGAGATTTTTAGAGCCAAATACAATAACTTTAGTTTACTTTAAATGTATAAATACAAACATGCAAGCAATCCAGGTCTTTGTCTTTAAGACATGACTCTAGTTTTATTAATTGATCTGTCATCTTCATAATTATAATTGGGTATCATCTGCATACAATAGAAACTGTTATTTTCTAATATATTACCTGAAGAACGTGCACAGAGCATGAAATGTTAATTATTCAGGTGTAAAAGACTATGGGCAGACTAGGCCTCCAAAGTCCGAGTCAGGGTGCTATTTAGCATTACAGTGTTCTTTGCGAAGAGGAAAAATGACTCGGCAGTCTTTGCAGAAGTACTTGAGTTTTGTGTGAATTTAAAAGTAGGCATTAGTTGTCTTGCTTCATAGATGTATATAAGTGGGTGTCATCTGCATAGAAGTGTATGCACTGTTTCTTTTTTTTTGTTTTTTAAATAACATTTCCTAAGGGAAGCATTCACACTGTGTCAACTCCTCCTTCTCACAGACTTATCCGGGATAACTTATTGGCTGGTGATTTCACAGTGAACATGAGATTACTGCAGGTACAACTCTAAAGCACACAGTGTTCATGTTCAGACATGCAGCTGATGCTACAGGGATTAATTGGGCTGGATATGTCTTTCAGGATTACCCCATCTCAGACGTCCACACCATCCTGACCAAAGCCAAAGACCTGCAGGATACATCCTAACCTGGTCCTCGTCCTCCCGCCTTCTCTGGTCACGTGTGGTAGGTGGCAGTCTAAAACAAAAAGGAGAAAAAAAAAAAAAAACAACAAAAAAACATTTGTCATGTCAAATGTGTTGTGGATGGACCTGACCAATGAAGAGTCTGCACGGATGTTTGGGACAGCGTGCAAAACTTGGGAGGACATGCTGAAACTTCCTCGAAATGAGTGGAGGATGGAGGGGTGCCTTGTGTCATAATGCATTATGGGAAAAGGCTCCCTTGGTACGTGCCTGTCCTGCTTTCTCAACCATCTCTCCCGTGGAGACAAATGAAGGTCTGTAGGGAGGCGGGGCCACAGTAATCCTACACTACCAATCGTAACCACATGTTCAACGAAGGAGCCAAGAATTCAAAGGAAACTCCCACTGCGATCACGTATGTAGTCCGATTGAGTTTAACTGTGTTGAGCAGTATGTGCATGTTTGTTCTTCTAAAAAAAAAAGAGTTAATTTTCAATGATTTTTGCTGATGTAAGAAACATGTATGCCTTACCTTTTGAAGGATGTGAAATGGGAGATGGCATTTCTGTGTATATATTCACTCTGACATCAGAAACATGAAGCGATAGTTTCCGCCTGTCATCATCTCAGCAATGCTTTCTAACCTTTTGGAGAATCACAGCAGAAGGAAACTGCTGTTGAAAGAATGGTGTTGTTTTTTCATACTGAACATTATTTTCACAGCAGTTTTATTTTTTTTCTTCCTCTAGCCCAAAGAAGCAAGTCTCACAACTACGTTGGGACCAATGTGCACTTAATTTTAATAGTAATGAAATATTAACAGTATGGTTTAGTGAAGTTCTTAATTTTTGATCAGCAATCAGTCCAGCTTCTGGAAATTGCCAATTTAGTGTCATCGACCAATCGGAGGAAATGTGTGAGGAGCTAAAATAGCTTGTTTGAGACAGAAGGATTAACTGAGCCCAGTGTAAGATAAAGAAGGAATATTCTTATCTATGAATCATGCACAGTTGCTCAAGTAACTTAAAATGAAAAGAGGGTGTTTTTTTTGTTTGTTTGATGTTTTTGGATAGTGAGGAATTATCTTTACATAGCAATGCATCAACCACACAGCTGCCTTTTAGGCAAACTTTCTAAAAGTTGGCATGAAACACTTCTTTTCTCCTCTTCTTTACAGAGTGCAGTTGTTCAGTCAGAAAGGAGGCTTGGCTGTTTATAACAAAATAATAGCCTTGCTAAATTTAAGTTAATCACTTTTGGTTTAGACTGATGATGTTCAGTGTGAAAACGGCATCCTGGCTCATTGCACTTTTCTCTTCTGATGTGCACGTCTGTGTCCAGCCTTGAGCTTGTAACACGTCAGTGAGGAGAATCAATGCAGAATCAGAAAAGAAGCGAACTGTTGAAGCTTATTGAGTGATGACGCTCATATGAAGGCACTCTGTGTGGATATTTGATCTGAACACGAATGAAAAGAGGTCATTCTAACTCTAAGAATTTGTAATGTGGCCCTACATGCACAGGCCTAGCAGGCACCAGGCCCAGGGCCATTAAAGTGCAGTGTTTATCGTCTTTACAAACAATTCTCAGAAGTTGGTTTGGGCATTAAATAATCTAAGCTTTCCCTGTCTGCTTTTTATTTTCTGCTTCTAAAAATTAAACCTAATCTTCCACACTATAGAAACATTACTTTTCTTCATTTACTTTTACCTACAGTCTGTAACAGTGCTGAACTTTGAGGAAGTGTTAAGTTGCTCTTTCACTTAAACTGAAAAGATTATTCTTGCTCAACTTATCATAATGAATCAAAGTGGACCTGTTCTTCTTTTCCTGTTTCCTGTCTCATAGTTCCTGCTCCAGTGGTGGATGTTCATATTAAACACGGCCAAAGTTAACAAATAACAAGGTCAGTGTACAGTTAGTCCCTCTGACACCAAAGCTCAGGCTGCAAAATGCTCCAAACACTCATTTTTTTTTCTTTCTACTTTTGGACTTGCATGAAGTCACAGAGAAGGGACGTCCCTAATACAGTCATGTTAAGCACAGACGACCCACACACTTCAGTTGACAAGGGGCAGTCAGTCAGAATAAAGTTGGCTTAAAGGGGGAGGAGCTAAAATGGCTAGCTTGAGATCTAAAGGTCTGCTCCAAGGCTCCGTGTAAAATAAAGAAGTATTATTTTGAACTGTGAATTATGCAAAGCTCCTCTTGTAGAGTTCAGGAAAAAACTGGAGCTGGAAATTAGAACAATGCATCCACTTAAATCTAAAACCAGTAAAATCTCAGAACCTGAGAAATGGCTGTTTTGTTTTAGTTTTAGTTTTAGTGACCGCTTTTAACTGTCAGACTTAATATAACACTAACTGTTAATCTAACAATAGCTTCATATGTAGGGAAAAATTAATGAATTACACATAAACTGCTTTAACACTTTGAGACGATAAAGTCAACATTTGTGAGAAAAAGTTTTTCCTGATGGGGGAAAAACACAAATCTTCTTGCAAAATTATGACTTTAAAATGTCATTTTGGCTTCTTTTTTTTTTTTTTTTTAAGACCAAAAAAACCCCAAAACTTTAATGCTTAACTTTTTTCTTTAAATATCACTCTTCTTTAAACCTGCAATGGCCCATACATTCTGCTGTAAAAGTGATCGTAAGGTGTTTTCCCACCAACGCTGTTTAGTCTGTTTAAATCGAGGATGTGTGAACATGGTGATCACAGCAAATCAACCACACCGAGACCCTTTGGAGGAGGTGGTCACGCTGCGGTTCGTTTATGGTGGCTAAACCAACTACTAGATATACGCTACAAGTCTGAGCTAAAAAAACGTAAAAGAGTAATATAAGGTTGGAGTCACAGTACAGACACATCTGGTCGCTGAGTGGACCGAACAGTTCACTTTTTTTCATCTCTGTGTGAAAACAGACCAAAACAGAGGGAAAATCTACAAGTTTACAAACTCATCACTTATTTAGACCAGATTAAACGAACAATAGGTGTGAAATCCCCCTAAACTAACAATAGAAATCAATATTTAGTCAAGCTGGAGATGGTACGTCGCACTTTAAATGAAATGACAGATCTCCCAAAATCTGTATTTTCAGATTGTCTCAAATAATCTGAGCTGTTTTCGTATTTTTATTAAGGAAAACTGGAATCATTTTTTTCTGTACAATAATTTCAGTTTATTTAATGAAGCTGTGCAAAATATTAGGCTGGAAAAACACATTTGAGCTCTGTTTTAAAAACTGCAACCAGATCAGTATTAGACCCACTACAGGTTTCATAATGTGAAGCCACAATCAGATCTTTAGTCAGCAAGATTTTGTTTCTAATCTTTCCTGACAATAAACTGCAGAAAACTTCAAAAAGTGCAGTTTGGGTAAAACTTCCAAGGCTCATATCACCATGTGAGATATATGGCTGCTTAAAATAAGTGATAACATATGACCGGCCTCCTTTCTACCTGCACTTTGATACCAGGGTTGTCCTCCAGCTGTGACTCCTGCTGTTTAAATGGGTTTTTCAACCACAAAAATATTTAGATCTCAGAAATTCTGGAAAGATTAAATAAATAAATAAAAAAGCACCAAATTTCATCCTAGTTGCTGAGGTTCCATGTCCTGTTAGTGTACAAACAGCCATGGTGCTAAGATAAAATTATAAGTAGCTTCAATAAATGCACTGGCGTTATTGTACAAACAAAAATGAGCTGATTCTGAGGAGGTCCGCTGGGAACCTTTCTCATATTTTGCTGATTTTACATCAAATCTTCCGCACTTCTTGTTGTACTTTCTAACCTCTTACTGTCCATTGAGTAGTTAAGGGTTCAGTCAGATCTTCCTTTTCTGTTTTATGTTATAACAGACGAACGTTGAGGCCAAAGTTGCTTTGAGAGTTGAATTGAGAGGCCCACGTGCTGTTTAAGCATGTTTGTTAACATGCTTAAAATGCAACATCACTGTGACTGATACGAGGTTAAAGATCAGTAATCACGTTAAAAATCTGAGATTAGTTTTCCCCCAAATAATCACAATTATGATTTTTACCATAAGTAGCCCTGCCACAGCTACACAGGTTGTTCACATTTCTGCTGACACTGTTAAATCGATCTTTCATGTTTCTGACTCCGCAAGGAACAAACGCACAACTACACTAATCTTTGTTTCCTGACAACCTGCAGCTGAAGTAAAATCTGCTGTTTTTGGGTTTTTTTGCATCTCAAGAAAAAGCCGGCATGAAAATGAAAGTATTGAAGTGTATTTTAGTCTCATTAAACCACTTCTGAACATCTGGAATATTCTGTTCAGTGTGAAAGAGCAAGTTTACGAAGACCAAAATTATTCTGTATTTTTACCATGTTGGGATTTTTTTATTTTTTTATTTTGAGGGACTGTTACTAGTTAGATTCCCATGCTCCTCTTTTAATGTGTATTTATTTCCTGTGTGTGTGTGTGTGTGTGTGTGTGTGTGTGTGTGTGTGTGTGTGTGTGTGTGTGTGTGTGTTGAAGGGGGTGATGTTCTCTATACTCTGTCTTATATCAGTTATATGCATGGAATGGATTTTGTAAGATGATTTTTGTAAAACGTCTCCAGTGTTAAGACTTGTAAATATGTTTTTACATGTTTGCAGACGTGCATTAAAATATTAAAATGAACAATGGGATAAATCGCATGCCTCTTTCTTTCTGGTTTCAGAATAAGTCGGATTCTGTAAAATTCTGTCTATCAGGACCCTACTTCTCCTGTGGCCTCTGTAAATACTTTCATGATGAGTTTATGATCTCAGCTGCTAGTTTCAAGTCTTTGGTCAAATAATTATCATGTTTTATTTACAATCATGATCTCATTTACAGTAAAAGTAATGTATGCCTTAGATTGGGCCTACCCTGAGATTAAGTCATGTTTTACAGCAGACAGTTTCACACATCATTACTGATAAACCACATGTTTTTCTTATCACAGATCGAAACGAGCACCAGCCTCCAGCACTGAAGTATAAAAGCTGCAGTTGCTCTAATGTTATCTTGACGCTGGTTCTCACTCCTTCAAACTGTACTTAAGCTTAAAGTTAGTAGTATATTAGGGGAATGAGCTGGAGTGCCTAAAGACCTAAAGACCATGTTTGTTTTGTTGATGCCTTTTGAAGAATTAACAGAATTATCTAACATGGTGTGACGGCCACAACAAACACTGAAGCTCTAAAATGAGTTCTGAAATCAGTGGGTGGTATCACAGTAGCTATGTACGTACACACACACACACACTTACTTGCAGGGTAAGAGTAAAACAAAAAGACTTAATTAATCAGACATCCTCGACCCACATTACTGTTTTGTTTGTGTTTTTTTACTGCACAGAAAGTGTAGACAATTCATCAATAAAACATTTTTTTTTTTTTTGCATAATTTAATTAGTTTTACTCAAGCGTTGTGGGCATTTGTGTATCGTATGGTCCTAAATAACAGGAAACACATTACTCTTCAGGTAAGGTGACAACAGCGCATTGCTTTTACTACGGGTGGTTTATTACATGCATAAATAACTTTGAAACAACTCCGATACAGAAAGGGCCTGCTGCTGCTCTCCCATACTGAACACCAGCGGGTGCTGTTCCATCCTCCCACCGCAGGGGGCAATAATGAGCTCAGTTCGCTGATGAAAATGCTGCTTATGGATAAATAAGCTTCACACAAAGTTCACATTTCTTCACTATTAGATGTGTTTAAAGTAGGGTTTTGTTTTTTTCAGTTGAGCAAAAGAGGGACACTAAGAAAGAAGAGTAAGATGTTTTTGCCTACACGCGCCTGTTTCCCTCCCCTGCTCCGTAAAAAACGTTAAGCTAACGGCCACTTCTCACTTCTCCCATCGTTTCTTCGGAACCCTGGAGACTGAAGGTAACTTGGCTAGTTTTAGCGGCTTTAAAAGCAAAAACTAACGCTTAAAATTAATGACTGCCTATTTTAGTGAACACAGAACCGCACACACTGCATGTTTGATGAGAATTCACTATGTTAAACTGATTTTTATTTATGAAGTCCTGATTGCTTTTTCTATTTTGGCTTGTGGTGAATGCAACCATAGTCATGTGAAAACTGCTTTAGCAGCACCCCACTCAGCATATTAATATAGGTATAAACAGATTAGAAAACCCTGCAGAGGATAAACAAATGTTAGCTGACATGAAGTTACCGCTTTTGTTTACAAATATTCACTTAATCTAATTTCTTTGGCCTCAGGAGGTGTGGTGTTACCCGCACCTGTGTTCTTACCTGATCACAGGAGGCTGCCCTGTTCAAAAATCACCTAAACTCTTGTAGAGGTTCACTTAAACCTGCTGCTGCCGAAAGGGTTAATTTAAAAACAGTTGCATCACCAAAACTGATTCAGAATAATTTACCTTAAAAAAACTCAAATTAGTGGTAAAAAAAAAAGTTTTAAAACAAATTTAAAACGGCAGACTTTCAAAAGAAGGTTAACTTGAGCTTCAAGATTGATAATAGTTATAGTACCAGATTAATTTCATGTGTCTGATGGCTCTGATTTATTTGCCGCATTTTATTAAAATCACTGTTAGTGCACGATTAACAGGTGGGTGTTTTGGTGCTTCACACTGTTCACGTGATAGAACAGTTAGATTTTATGTAACACAATCAAAATAATGAGAACCAAAGCTTATGTTAGAATCATGTGACGGTTATTCACTGTGTTTTATTTTCAGTGAATTCAGAAAATATCGCTGACATGGATGTGTGTGAAAACCTGGGAAAATCTTAGTTAGACTGACTTTATATTAAGTAAGTGTGTCCTGGTTTCAGGACGGTTGTTCCAAAGTCCAGGTTTTTTCTTCCTGGTTAGTAGAGCCATGCCTCGAGGTTTAGAAAGCTTTGGTTAAAAAGCAACTCTGTGAGTTAGTTCTTCGAAAAAAGGACTGCAGCAGTTCTGCTCAGTGCGGAGCGGTAAGTGTGTGTTTTATAGTTGGCAGTGTGAAATGGGCTTTCTTTGTAGGAACAATATCTGCCACAAAATAATAATAAGTAAAATTTAAAGTGCTCATTTACTGCTTAATATAACTCATAAAGGTCACAACATGTTTGTGTTTACTCTAAAATCTGTTTATTCTGTGTCACCACAGACAAAGCTGATTTGTTTTACACATGCATGAAAACAGGCTTTTCCTGGTCCCTTTCACAATAAAAGTCACACACAAAAATCACACACAGAACTAAGTTTCCATAATCGTTTAAAAAGAAAAATTGTGAAAAAAAAAAATGTTTATTTACTCTTAGCGTTTTAGTCCTGCTTTCCAAGGATGTGTACAATGGCAGTCAAAACTTTCACCCATTCACATGTTGGTATTGTCTGTGTCAAGACTGCTGATGAACCTGTACCGATAACAACATAAAGTGTGGCTTAAATTCAAGCTTTTCTTATAAGTTTTTGCTTTACAGAAAAACACACACATAGTTTCAGAGAAGTGCACCCTGGCAGATGATGCAGAATGATGTCACAGAACTCAGACCAG